GTGTGTGTGTGTGTGTGTGTGTGTGTGTGTGTGTGTGTGTGTGTGTGTGTGTGTGTGTGTGTGTGTGCACGCATGTGATTGTGTTTTCCGCTATCACTGCGCCCACGCCCTTTGTCGCATGTACCGCGCTTTTCCGTGATTGAATTGGGGTTCTGATACTCATGCAGGCGCTTCTCTACCTTTGACTCTTTTCCGTGTACCCTCGTGTCTTGCCACCCCACCCCACCCCCCGCCCTCGCATATACCACAACAACAGGCACTGGAGTATGGCCAGGTCGCTGTTGCAGACACCGTGCCGGGCACAGAGGTGTGTAATGCCTCCCTCCCTGGCCCACAACTCTGACACACCTGTGTTGCGATTTGTTTCCCCGCCCCGCCCCCCTTCTTTGCTCTTGGTTTGATGGCTGCTCAGCACGTGCCACTTGTCAAACTCCTCTTTGTCACACCATCTCTTTGCTGACATGCTCTGCCTTTGGTTTTGTATTGTGGTTGTTTTGTTTCTCCGCAGCTGCTGGCGCTGCTGGAGCAAGAGAAGCGCAAGGAGAAGGCCGCGGAAGCAAAGGCCAACGAAGGCTGGGTCACGGACAGCGATGGTGATGGCAATGATGACGACGACGACGATGATGATGAAGATGAGGACGATGATGACAGCGAAGAAGACGAGTGAGTGGACTCGTACATGCCTCTGTGTGCTTGTTTCTCAATGTCAACACCCGTGCGCTTTATGTCGTGGGTGCAGCGCTTCAAACTTGGCTCTATTGAACCTTGGGGCTGTGTGTCCCTCCCACTCACTCACACTCTCTGCGCTGTTGTTTATGTCCCCCCCCCCCCGTTTTCACCGTAACAGTTGGGAGGCCTTGGAGGATCATCCCAAGGAGTCCAAGGTCGTTCGAGGTGAGCGCGTGTTTGCTCGTTCGCGTGTGTTTGTGCTTTGTTCCGTGTGTAGTCGTGTATCTGCGTGTATCCACGTCCCTATGTCTTTTGACGATGGCTCCTCACTTGCTCACTCACCTCCACACTTGCTAACTCACCTCCCCACTTGCTCCCTTGCCCTTTCACCTCCCCACCTCCCCACCTCCTCACTCACCGCTTTCCCCCTCTCTCCCCTCTGCAACTGTTAGGCCTTCGCATGAAGGGCCCGCGCGCGAAGAAGCTGCGCGACGAGCTGAAGGACAAGCCCGAGCTGTTGGAGGAGCACGAGATGGCTGTGCAGCGGCGCCTGGCGGACCAGGACGACGAACAGGAGGACCCCATGGAGGCGCTCAAGAAGCGGGCCGAGCGCGCAAAGCAGCTCTCCTCCACGCGCATCCTCACCCAGGAGGATTTCCGCCGCATCCGCAAACTCAAGGAGGAGCAGGTGTGTGTGCGTGTGTGTGTATCTTGTGTGTGTCTTGTGTGTGTATGTGTGTGTCTTGTGTGTCTGTGTGTGTGTGTGTGCGTGCGTTGTGCGTGTGTCTGTCTGTCTGTCTGTGTATGCACGTTTGGAGCGCGCCTATTTGTGGACACGCCCCTACTTGTGTGCATGCGTGCGTTCACACTTCACTGAATGTGGCCACCGCTTGTCGTCGATCATCTAACAAAGCACTCACCCTCATCCTCATCTTCCCTCCCTCGTCGCCCCTTCCTATGCACGCCGGCAGCTCATGTCTGGGAAGCGCTCGAGCTTGGAGGCGCATGAGACGCTGGATGTGGACGACATCCTGCCGGACATGAAGAAGCCGCGGCAGGACAAGGCCGCGCGCCTGGAGCTGGTGTACCAGGGCCGCGAGGGCCGTGGCAAGTTTGGCACCCCAAAGGGCCGCCTCAACGAGCACGCCAGCACGACTAACCGGGAGAAGCGCAAGGCAAAGAACACCATGATGCTCAAGGCCTCGCGCTCCTTCCGCTCCAAGAAGAAGCTGGCCATGCACGTCAAGCAAATGCTCTCCCACAACAACAAGAAGTCCTTTGGCAAGAAGAAGAACATCAGCACCTAATCTATGCATGCAGCATGTGTTCTGTGTATGTTCTGTGTTTGTTCTGCGACGTGTGCGTGTGTTCTGCGACGTGTGCGTGTGTTCTGCGATGTGTGTAGGTGTGCGTGCGTGTGTGTGGGGGGGAGGTGTCTGCGATTTTGTGTGCGCGCAAGTGCAAGTAGCGCAAGTCAAATCAAACCGTGCTGCGCTGCACGCCTGCTTTGCGTTTCTGTTCGTTCTGTTTTCGTCTGTCGCGTCGCAGTGGTAAACGACACCATGAAGTCCGTGGTATCGAATTATCATGGAAGATTTGGCAGTATTATCTTTGCTGGGTCAGGCTTGCACGTGCTGTCCGCCGTTCGTCCGGTTGCCCCGCAAACTCCATGCGGTGCACTTTCAATGTTTAGATTCACTTCCAGTGCACTTCCTAAAGTGGGCCAAAGTTGCCGGTGGCGTTGTGCGTCAGCACTGATCGGTGTATTTGCTTGATTTTTCGTCACACCCAAAATCCATCCATTTCCCCAAATACGACAATCTGTTGAAAGCATTGACCTAATTTCGCACTTGGGACAATCTGTCCACTGCTCGCCACCTGGACCTACCAAACGCCGTGACGACGGATTTTGATTTTGCATGTCGTGCGCCCGCACCATGTTGCTGCTCTTCTGCTTCTTTCTTCCTTCCGTCCCCCTCTGCTTTCGTCTCCTTGCTTGTCGTTGGTTGGCCGTTCTTTCTTGCCTCACGTGTCCGCTCGTCGAGAAGTAATTGCTTCTGCGCAACAGCAAAGGAAAACGCACGAACAAACCAACGAACAGACAAACAAAGAAAATTGCTGTTGGGGGGATGGAAGTGCGTGCGCATCTGCGACTGGCTTGCTGCTCCCCACTTCCAATCGGACACGCACACAACACAAGCACACCCCCGCACACAATTGCTTCCTGCCTCTCTTTCCCACACACCCTCCCACACACACACACCCTCCCACACACACACACACACACACACACAACACACACACACGAGTGGAGCAGCATTGCACCAGTTCGCTTACCACTTTCCACATTCCATCCCCTCGAACCACATCACCCAGATCACCCACAAAGCAAGCACGTCCCCCCGCACTCTTCCCCTCACTCGCACGCCCCACTGCCGTGCTCCTCATCGATGCATCGCGCTCGATCGCGCCACGCTGCAGCCCTCCTCTCAGAAGCCGCGCGCTTGCTCTTTTTCCCCGGCTGGTTTGCACGTGAGAGCAAACCAAAACCCGACCAGGTATGATGGTGCCACTTCCCCCCTCTCCCACTTTCCCCCCGCTTACACACACACACACAAACACAAACGCAAACACACTTTCGCGCAGTGTGGGCGACTTACAGCGCCACTTCTCAGACGTGTTTGCTTTGGCTTGTTGCGATTTTTGTCACTGTGATTCCCTTGGCATCCATGCCGACTGCGTGAGGGTGTTCGCAACTGCGTCGACTTGTATTCCTTCGATCTCCTTCTATTGTTTGTTGTTGTTTGTTGTTTGCTGTTTGTTGTTGTTTCCCCCTTAACTGCTCTTCCTTCCCCCACCCGAGTCAGTCAAGTCAAACGCTGCCGCACCCAAACCACCACACCCGCTGTCTTGCTCGTGTATGCGTGTTTGTATGTGTGTGTGTGTGTGTTTTTCGCGAGTCCTCTTCGCTTCGCTAACACACACGCACACACACGTTGCTTGCTGGTGCTTGACTTTGTTTCTGCATGTTGTGTGCGTGCATGCCCACCTGCCCGCCTCGCGCACGCCGTTTTCCCGCCTTTTCCCTCCAATACAGGTTGCCCGCTCCTGCGTTGCCGTCTTTTTGGTTGGGACCGTTACAGTTTTGGTGAGTAGTCCACCCACACCCCTGGGTCCTTTCCCGCTGTCAACACGCTCATACCACCAAACAACATTCCACCGTGCCCAGAGGCAGCCGCAACCAAAAAAAAATAAAGGTACTGTGCTGTTTTGCTCTGTACCCCACGCATCATCACTCTGACACACCCCTCTTCCCACCGCCATCGTAACACTGCGTAATCACTTCGGCACAGTCCTACAGCCCATGTCACTCTGACACACCCATACACCTTGCTTGCTTATGCATCCCAGCCAGTGTCTGACATGACTTTGGTGAAACTGACTCACACATAATCTGCTCGGTCGATACGAGCGTTCGCTTCGCACAGTCATTTTGTGCGTTTGGCTCTCTCCCTATCATCTTTTCTGTCACCACCCCCTCTCCACACACACCGTTGCACTGTCGCACACCCCTCCACCAACCACCCAGCCAATAGCCTGCGAGCCAAACAGCGTGCGTCACTCACAACCACACCGTTACGCCTTCTTCCTCTTCTTGTTCGTGTCACCCGTCTTGCTCTGTCGCTGCTGGTTTTTTTATTGTGTGTGTGTGTCCTTCTTTGTGCAACCCTCCCCATCACCCCTTTCTATCATACTCCAGCAGATCCCATCGGAGTCATCGGCGGCCATTCACACCTGTGCCACCACGACTTCGCATACGTACATCTGCGGACATTCCACGATCCAACATCCCCCCCCGTGTTGTCCCTCTCGGGCCCATTCTCATTCCTATCTGCAAGCAAGCCAGAACCAACAGACCCAGCCGACAGCAAAGAACACGGCCATTCTTGCACCAACGCCCCCACAGCCAAGCTCAAGCCTTCCCCACCACACGCACACGCACCGGCTGCATAGGTACGGCTGACCTGGTCGTTGTCGCCCACAATATTTGACACACACGCGCGCACACGCACAGAATTACGTTGGCATACACGCACACACACACATGCACATATGTATGTACACACTTGACAATACACACAAACACACGACACAAGTTTTACGTTGCGGACAGCAGCCTTCGGTTGACCACTCGTGTCTGCTTGCTTTGGCATATTTGATTTGTAGGGCGTGAAACAAGCGGCACGTCTGTGCCCGCAGCTTTCGACCATCCCCCTTCTCCCAACCCCTCCTTCCCGCCTCCCCTTCAACCATACTCGCCTCGTCGAGAATCCCCGGCAGCTGCTGCAACACAGGCTGCATGAGTGGGGACGAGGACCCGCTGCCCAAGCCTCCACCACAGCAGCAGCCACCTCAACAACAACACCCAGAAGACCTTTCACCGGAAGAGCTGCACCCACAACAGCAAGATCAGTGTCATCAGCACGACGTCGACCAGCACAATCCGGCCGTCTCTGCCGAGGAGCCACCCATCCAGTCGCAAGACGACCATCCCAAGCCACGTCAGTACCAACAACACCAACAGCAACACCAACAACAGCCACAGCCGCACCTGCAGCAGCAGCAGTCAATGTCACCGGCGTCACAGCAGAGTTTTTCGCACAACAGCATTTCCCCACCACAAGCACAGGATTTTGCAACCGGACCTCTGGTCCACGACATGGCGCCAAATTCCATCAACCCAGGCCAGCGGCGAGGAAGCCGGGTCCACGGGTTTGACGACGCAGCCAATGGCTCAAAACGCCAACAGCGGCAACGCCGACAACATCACCAACAACACCAACACCACCAACAACCACAGCAGCGCCATGCACACGTGCTGCAACCAGTAGCAGCACAACCGTCATCATCATCGCAGTCTAATCAGCAAACCCACCTGCAACCACAGTCTAATCAGCAGCCACCCTCCCATCACGGGCATCAGGATCCCATGCAGCAGCAAGCAGACGCAGCAGCCGTGTTTGCGGTATTGCAGACCGTCAGCGCGGCCACCTCAACAACAACAGCATCAGCAAGTGCTGCGGGACCGTCGCCTACGCCGCCACTGCAAATGCAGCAGCCGGACGAGCTTAGGTCGCACACGTTCCCCGTAAACACACGGGCATCTGCAGACACTCACGGCGGGTTCCCGCCAACACTTCCCTCGGGCCGCCACGCGGTGCAGCACCTTCTGGCCCCTCAACCTGTTCGGCAGCCCCGGCAAGCACCTCGACATGGAGCACAGCATGGAGCACAGCAAGGGCCTCAGCATGGAGCACAGCAAGGGCCTCAGCATGGAGCACAGCAAGGGCCTCAGCATGGAGCACAGCAAGGGCCTCAGCATGGAGCACAGCAAGGGCCTCAGCATGGAGCACAGCAAGGGCCTCAGCATGGAGCACAGCAAGGGCCTCAGCATGGAGCACAGCAAGGGCCTCAGCATGGAGCACAGCAAGGGCCTCAACAGCCGCGTCGCCTCCAGCAGCCACATCACCAGCCACAATTACCACAGTTGCCACTGGTGCCACAGCGAGGCCTGCAGCAGCCAATGCAGCTGCCTCCACCACAACAACCGGCAGGCATGATGCCGCCAGTGCAACACCCCATACGTGCACACGCCCTTGACGGCGCACGAGCCGAGCTCCTGCGTGCCACCCTCGCCGCCTGTCCTCTAATTCAACTTTTGTCCGTCTGTCTCACCAGGCAGCACCGCGTCCAACAGCAGCAACAGCAACAGCAGCAGCAACAACAACAGCAGCAACAACAACAGCCTGCTGCGAGCCGTCGCTCGAGTGAAGCCGAGTCTCAACAAACACGGGAAGAAAGGATGCACAACCACAGGCACTTTGTGGCAGGTGGATGCAACATCCTGCGCCACGTCGGGCGGCTGCTCGGGCAAGAGCACGGGGGCTGTGTTGCCTTGTTGCAGCAGTTTCGCCTCCTGCACCCACCAGCCGCGAACAGGGGCGGCAACTTCTCCAGCTCAAGCCAGCGAGCCATCACCATGGGCGCGCAGCCTTCACACTTGGAATCGCATGCACGGCAACGACAGCGTCTGCACCACCAGTTCGCCCCACACCACCACCAGCATCAGCATCAGCAGCATCAGCAGCATCAGCAACAGCAACCACCGCAATGGCAACGTCAGCAAGCGCGGCGGCGGCGGCATGCAGATGATGATGACGACGATGGCGATGATGATGATTCGCGTTACGGCGGTGGCAGCGGTACGAGCAGCCACGACTGCCACAGCCACGGCGGCTGTGGGCAGCCCAGCAAGAAGCGGCCAAAACGACGCACACAACGCATCAAGGACCCAGACTTTCGCCTTGCGGAGATCGTACAGCAGCAGTACCGACTGGAGCAGGAACGGGATCGGCAGCGGGAAGCGTGGTTGCGGGCCATGACCGTTCTCCTCCTCCGCTGGCTCTCCAGAATGTTGTTCATCAACCCTAATCCTTGAGCTGCCATCACACACACACGCACGCACGCACGCACACACACACACACACACACACACACACACACACACAGACAAGGTGCAAATGATTCGATGATTTCTTGATTTGGTCGTCAACAATAGCCGTGCCTGTTCGTTTTTCTTTGTTGAGCGTGATTGAGACCATGTCATAAGTGACTGTACACTTTTCCAACGGATGAGCCTTCCTTCAAGTTTCAGATTTGTTGCCAGACATCCGCGTGTTCGCCGTTATTTCTCGACGGGGCTGGTGCGCCACTGCCTATTGCATGCACTTTGCTCCCCATCCCGTGACATCTTCAGCGTGTTGCACGTTTGTTGACGCGCTTGTTGCTTGTTTGTTGATCCACTAGTGCATGGTTCGTTGGGTTTTAATCGATTTGTGCAAACGCTTGCTTGCTTGCCCCTTTGTGAATGCTTTTGAATGTACGCTACATTGCCACTGTGATCATCATGTTGTCCATTTACTCGCGAGTTAGTACCCTGTCACCTGCACGCTTACTTCACATTCCAATACACCTCTTCTCACAACCCCAGCATGGGCAAAACGAGAGCAAAGCCAACGCTCGCAGAGCGTCACGCTCGTGGCATCACAGTTGGTGGTCACAGAACCACACACCACGTCAGTAAAGGCAGGTGTCACATCACCAGAACGAGAGTTAGAATAACGAGCAAACAACAGCGCTATGACACATTGTGACAAACTGTGACTCGACGTGACCCCTGACAAGAGGTGTGATCTGGTATGGGGTCTACCTTTATCCACATGTTCAAAGGCAGTACGGCGCTGATGCCTGTCAATCACAGCTCATCATGGGCATTGTGCCCATCACTCGCTACCGCTGGTGGCGGTGCAGCCTCTTGTGCGGCTTCAATAACAATACGCATAAGCGCCTCTGGATCCTGCTCCTCAATCTGCACGCATGTTCGCATGTATGCGTGGGTGTGTGCATGAGATTTGTGTTTGTGTGTTGTGCGTGTTTGTATGTGCGCGCGCGCGCGCGCGTGTGTGTGTGTGTGTGTGTGTGTGTGTGTGTGTGTGTGTGTGTGTGTGCGCGTGTGCAACGAGCACCACCCTCGCCTTCATGACCCCCACGTTCGCATCCTCGCTTACCATGATGTTGCCTTGACCAGGGATAAAGAGAATGGAGATTGGATAGTGGGGGAGCCTCAGCTGTCACACAGGCACACATGGCACCAGTCGAGAACAAAGCAAATATGCAAGACACATTGGTGTGAGAGCGAGCAAAGTGTGGCGAGGTTGTTATGAACACGCACAAGTGTCCCGTGTTCCACACCAAGCTTGTCGTCAAACAACATGCCTGTCTTAGTTGGGTTACCTGGTTGCATTTGAAGCGGTAACGCTGGCAGTCTATGCTCCCAAACTCAATGGTCCACTGATGACAACCGAGGCCGAGTGAGTGCGCAAGCGTGAGTTGCTGAGGTTGAGATTAGGAAGGCACGGAGAGGAAACCAGGGATTCACAAACAGGTGGGCAGGCAGGCAGGCAGGCAGGCAGGCAGGCAGGCAGGCAGGCAGGCAGGCAGGCAGGCACACGCACACACACGCACGCACACGCACACACACACACACACACACACACACACACACACACACACACACACACACACACACACACACACATACACGCACCGGAGCCAGGTCAGGGGAGTCTGCGAGCAAGAGGGCCACGTGGTTGAAGATTGGCTTAAACTCCAGACAAGGGCGGCACCAGGGAGCGCCAAAGGTCACGAGCAACAGCGCATCGCTCGACGCAGCCGCATCATCAAGCTGAAGTCCACTCATCGTCTTCACCTGCAGCAAAGCGAGCACAACAAAACACAAACATGGCGTGTGTGCGCTATGGTGCATGAGCGGTACAACGAAGTGCAACTCCAGAAACACACACACACACACACACACACACACACACACACACACACACACACACACACACACACACACACACAGAGTACAGAGGTGGTCCAAACACTCGAGGTGCGTGTGCAGGCCTTGAGCCGATGAATGATACAGAAGCAAGTTATGGCGCCACCACCTTGTTTGGGAGGTGTTCGCGGACGGCTGCTGTGATCCAGTCTGCAGCGTGGTGCCCACGGTAAGGCAGAACACGTCGAGGAAGGCGCCCAGGCAGATACACGCGCACCGTTGGATACGCACTGTTGTTCGGTGTGTGTGTGTGTGTGTGTGTGTGTGTGTGTGTGTGTGTGTGTGGTTGGGGGGTTGCAGCAGGGAATGTGCGCAATGCAATGCAAGGTGAGGAGGGCACAGGCTGCAAGTCAAGAAATGTACCAAATAAAAATAAAGCAAACACAAACAAATACACACAAGCACACAGACTACCAAAATACAACGTCACACACATGTGCACTCACTCATACACACACAGACACAGAAAGACACACAGACAGACACATACACACACACACACACAAACGCACCGAACGTGCTGCTGCCTACACAGGTCCTTCTCGCGCGTGCAGTCCACGGTTGCCAGCCGCGCCACCCCGCGCAGGTTGTGTGCAGCGCGGGCAAACTCTGGAGCAAGCCGCTGGCAGTGGCCGCACCACGGCGCAAAGAAGTCCACCACCCACAGGTGCTCGTCGCTCTGCTTGATGTCTGTCTGGAACGTGTGTGCGTCCAGCTCAATCACAGCCGGGTGCAGGGTGGCCTGCACAAAGTCGCGCAGGGCACCTGCAGACATGAAGTTGCCGTGGAAGGGTGTGGGCGTGCCCGTGCCGTGGAGATATGCGATTGGGGATGGGTACGAGTGGATGGTGAACCGCCTGCACAGGTCCGCGTACGCATGGCAGTCGACGCTGCCAAACACAACGCCCGGTTCTTTCGCCGTAGCCACAGACGCCTCGCGCCACGCAGGCAGCATCTGCTGGCACGGCCCGCACCACTGCATGGATGGAGGTGTGAATATGGAAAGGTGGGTGATTGTTGTGGATTGACAGGTGAGTAGGGGCAACCTTTTCTGAACGCTTGCACACACAGCCGACACGGACAGACACGGGCAGACAGACAGACAGACAGACAGACAGACAGACAGACAGACACACACACACACAGACAGACACACACACACACACACAACAGCATGCTCACAGGGGCGAAAAAGTCGATAAAGACGAGGGTGAACTGCTGGTCAAAGAGGAGATCCGGGAAGAGGTGCGGGGTGAACGTCTGCACGCGCGAGTGCTTGGCGGTGCTGATCCAGCGCTCGACAATAGAGGGGTGCAGGTCGCCGTGGAACACCTCATAGTCGGTGGCAGCCTCGCTTCGGCGCAGCAGCAGCACAGGGTACTGGCAGTGGCCGTGACAGTGACGGTGAATGTGAACAGGGATGGATGGATGGATCGAGAGAGACAGGCGTGTGAGGGGATGAAGCATGCACCTTTACACAAGTGCAGATGCACAAATACAATGCACACAACACAGCACAACAGTACTGTTACGCACGGAAAGAACGTACCCTCAACGCACGCACACGCACACACACACACACACACACACACACACACACACACACACACACACACACACACACTAC